GAGCTTCTAATACTTTAATGTACAGACAAATCACCTAGGAATCTTACAAAAATGGAGATTCTGATTTAGTAGGTCTGGAGTAAGGCCTGAGTTACCTATTTTCTAACTAGTTTCCAGGTGATGCCAGTGCTGCTGGCCCACAGACCACATTTTGATAGCAAGGTTCTAGTTGAGAGCACTGGTTAGGGAAAACTATCAACCCTGTATCTTAAGCTGGGTTGCCTGAAAAACAAACACTGAGATGGAGATTTGCGTGCAGGAGGCTTGCTGGGGTGAGCCCTTGGAATAACACGAGTAAAGGAGTGAAGGAAGCAGGATTGGGCAGATGGAGAGGCTGAGCTGTGACACAGTTGCCACACAGGCCTCAGCCCATCCTATAGGAAACTCTGGAGCTAGGAGGCCCTTTAGTTGTCTTGAACTGAGGCAAGGGGGCCAGGCCTACGTACCCCCACATCCACCAGACGTGGCATGCAGACTGCAGACTGCCGCAGGGAGGAGGCATCTTCTGGTATGAGGCAGCTCCCTTCCATAAGAGCAGTCCTCAGAGGGGACTGGGCTGTGAGCCTATCCGTAGCCAAGACTCCTGTGAGAGGGGAGAGAGCGAGCACCTCAGCCCTGGAGGGAAATCTAGGTGAAGCACCTTGGTGTTCATTACTCTGGTGATAGCTCCAGTAACCTGAGGAAATCCTCATATCATTTTCTGTCTTAGTCAAGTCCAAATTTAAGACAGACATTTCTCCTAATGTTTCCATTTTATTAATAAATGGAGTCATGTGTCTATGCAATGTGCCAGGCCTTGGAGCTGTGATTTCAAGGACAACCATTTTGGCTTTACAGAGAAAAGCTCTGGATCTGATTTGAGAGTCTACACAAGTCTTTTTAGTTCAAGCAGGGATGCAGGAAGAAAGTTCAGCGAGGCACTTTGGCGGATACTTGATTGATGAATTTCACAGAAAAGAGAGCTAGGTGAGATAACATCTAAGGAAAATGATGTGCACCATCTAGTGGCACTAACTAAAATCAAAGTCTAATTTGTCAATAAAGATGATTTCCCTTTACCTAGTAAGGTGCTCTACGGGGCCTTCAGTAGCAGTGCTTTGCCACTTTTAGAGGTAGGTGTGGGAGTGAGGTAAAATAAAAATATGTGGGGCTCGATAGCCATATGAAAAAAGATAAAATTGGATCCATTCTTTATTCCACACTGGATAAATTCCAAGTGGGTCAGAGATCTAAACATAAAAAATGAAACCACACCAGGGCCGGCTCCGTGGCTTAGCGGTTAAGTGTGCGCGCTCTGATGCTGGCGGCCCGGGTTGGGATCCCGGGAGCGCCCCGAGGCACCACTTCTCCGTCCAACGTGAGGCCGAGTCCCACGTACAGCAACTAGAAGGATGTGAACCTATGACATACAACTATCTACTGGGGCTTTGGGGGGAAAAAACTGAATAAATAAAATCTTAAAAAAAAAAAAAAAAAATGAAACCACACCAGTAACTCCAAAAAGAATGAGTGAATTCCTTTATAAGCTGGGAGTGGGGAAAATATTCCTACCTACGACTCAGAATCCAGAACATTAAGGGAAGAGATTGATTAACTACAATTTAAACAAAAAAGCAAAGCAAAAATTTCCACGAAAGCCATTTAAAAAGTTCAACTTACATCACAAAGGGCTAATATGTAAAAGATTTCTAAAATTTTTTTAAAAGGCCACCTCGATGGAAAATAGGCAAAGGATGGACATTTCAAATAACAAGAAATGCAAATAGCCCCTAAACAGGTGAAACAGTTGATTTGTTTATTTCACTTTGCTTTCCATTTTAGAGGTTGCTTTTAAATTTTACTTTGTATTTTAAACATGGTAACCATGATTGCAAGGTCAAACTATGAAACAAGATATATTCAGAGATCTAACTTCCATTCCCGTCCCCCTGCCCCATTGTCCTTTTTCGTTAGCCTATTGGTCACCATTTCTATTAGATTTTGGTTTACCTTTCCATTGTTATTTTTGAAAATAGAAGCAAGTGTCTGTTTGCGTATGTATTCCTAACCCCTCCTTACACAAGAAGTAGCACACTACACACATTCTTATTGCCTTGCTTTTCTCCCTTCACTTCATAGGTGTATATCTCCCACATTTCTTAACAGACTCATCGTGCGTCACTGTATGCACATACCATTCGAAAAGATGCTCCACCTGATTCATAAAAAGATAAATGCAAAACTATATTGAGATACCATTTCCCACCTATCAAGTTAGCAAAAATCTATGAGTTCGACAGCGCACTCTTATTGGAGAGGCTGTGGGGAAACAGGGACTGTCATACATTGCTAGTGTGAATACAAAATCACACAACTCCTGTGAAGGTGAATTTGGCAATATTAAACAAAATAACATGTTCTTTTACCCTCTGACTTAGCAATTCCACTTGTAGCAATCTATGCTAAAGATCCATTAACAAAAGCAAATCATGTGTGCACGAGGGACTTTTTGTACTAGCAAAAGACTGGAAATAGCCTACATATCCATCAATAGAGGCCTCGTTAAATAAACTATGATACATCCATCTATAACCAGAGAAGAATAATGTCTAGTTCATTTAAAACACAGTATTTTGTCTGTACATCCTTAATGGGATGTAATACGAAGAAAAAAAGAAGCACAAACTTAAACTTTACTAAGCAGTCTTGTTAGCAATATTGTTATTCTGTTCTATATAAGTATATGTGTGTGTGTGTATATATATGGATAAAGCAAATAAGTAATTATGTTAATATCTTTAAGAACCAATATTTTCATCTTAATAGAAAGGAGACAAAACCCAAAATCAAAGAGCTGAGCTTTAAAAAAGGATCAGGACGTAGATAGAAAAAGGTGCTTAGTATTCAAGAGCAGTCGTGAATCTTTAAGAAAAGGAAATCTGAGACATCTAAAATCCAAAACAATGTGAAGTTTGGGGGAGGGAGAAGGCTAAAGACAACATAAGTAATTTCTTAAGTTATGTCTGAAGCAAGAAGAAAAGAGGGAGACAGGAACCAGCCTAACAAGACAGGGTCATCTGCAAGGTCCCTGGCCTAACAAGATAACGCCCCTAACCAACCGGCAAGCTAGGAGAATCAGAGACTACCTAGATCCACATTTTGCAGTTTGGGGACATTCCTGGGTTTACGCATGCGCCCTAGCACCCAGGAGTCCACGGAAGGCGACCCCACCGCCATTAGCATAGTAAAAGTCACACCCAGGGGTGGGGAGCTAGCATGCTAATGATATATGTGTCGCATGTAGTAGCATGCTATGCAACAACGCAGGCGAAAGAACAACCCCACCTCTGCATGCTGTAACAAGGCACACTCCTCTCCAACCTTTGTCTAATAAAAGCCCCACAATCCTGTTCCCTAAGGAGCCGGTTACCTGCCCCTTTACTTCCCGCACAGGTTCCCTTGTGCCTCTCCTGTGCACAAGCTAATAAACTTATTTTTCTACTCCCGTTTGCTGTCTCTCTTGATTTCCATCCTGGGGGACAACAAGAACGCAACGTGCCGGTAACAAGAGGAGGAATGGTTTCATTCAGTCTCTGATGCACCAGTTCCTGTTAAAAGATGGCTTTTCTGCAGTGCCTTTGTCTCCTAAATGCTGGTCCCAATCTCTCCATCCCCCCCTTCACTTTTTACCAAGTTAATTTCTACTGATTCTTCAGATCAGTTTCATCATTGGTTTGTTGTGTTCCCCACCCACTATCAAGGATCTTTTATTTTAGTCAATCGTAGAATCGTATTCCTTCCCTTAGTGCACTTCTCTCAGTTGATAATTATGCCCCCATTAAATAATCACTTGATTAATATTCTTCCCCCCTTCGAGGGCCGAAACTGTGTCTGGTTTTGCTCATCATCCTATACTGTATTACATAGTAGGCGCTGAATAAACACTTGTTAAAATAAAGCAACATGCTTAACTTCCATCTTTTCCCATTTCTTCAGAGAATCTTCTTAAGATTGGGAAGGGTAGAACACCTAACGACTTGAATCCACAAGTAGCAAAATGATTCTAAGAAAACGTTCCCTACTCAAATTCGTTCATTCGGCAAATATTCGTTTAGTCCCTGGCACTGTTAGGCAATGGGGATACAACCTTGGATAAGGCAGATAAAGTTCTGTCGCTACTCTTACCGAGTATATACATCGGCATGAGGCGGGGTGGTAGTAAATGTCTGCTATAGTGTCTGTATTTAAATTGAATCCAAGTTTCCTGCCCTAAATGAATTACATCCCAGAAAACAGAGAACACCCTGATGGGATCGCTGATGTTTGCTAATAGAAAAAGCAGCTTGGGGAAGAGAGCTGGGTATGTGCAGTCCTGTTTGTCAACAAAATAGCCAAGGTGTCAGCAATGTGTGCGCGCGGAGCCGGGCCCCTCCCAGATCTCCTCATTCCAAATCTCACCCAAGGAGGCTTCTGCAGTTGCCGCCTCCCGCGGACTTCGCATTTCTCCCGCACTCTACTCTCATGACAGGTCTTCTTTGTTGTAAACTACCTATGCGATAAGATTTGAGCGCCACGGTCAGTCTCCCAAATATGGACCAGTTCCTATAGCCGAAGTTCCCACCAAAGACCCTGGCATACGGTTACTGAAATCAGCGTTTGGGAAGCCTGACGCAAGTTGTCTCAACTCGGGTTCCGTAGAACCGGTTTCTCCGTCAGAGGGCCTTCAGCCTCAGCCAAGCCCTGAAAAAATAAGAATGAGGTGTCTACTACATTTCCCCGAATATGTTGTCTCAGGCGCAGGCCAGTTGTTTAAAATACGCTTTAAATGTGGGTCTGAAGGAGCAAGTAGAACTCATCTTTCTTTTCATGTTTCTTAGTTTTGCCCGCCACGCCCTTCGTGGTCTCCCCTCCGACCGCACCTCACTGGACAGGCAGCTCCTGGCCACCCTCCGAGGTCCTGATTTTGAAAAGAGGAGCGGGCCAATCAGAGTGCGGAGCGCAGTTTGGCGCTGCCATTTGAGCCTGGGCTTCAACTGCGGGTGGGACGGTCACAGTGGCTCCGGGTGTCTGCCGAGGCGGTAGGGGCGGAGGCATGAGGAGAGCTGCTTGGCGTCAGTGAGCGCCCGGGATGTGCAGGCCAGGGGCAGCGGGCAGGCTGATGGGGGAGGGAAGGAGCAGCCTGTGAAACGGGGTGACGGCGGCGACCAGCCCGGGCGGGGACCGGGACTGGAAGAGGCGCCTGAGCAGCCGGCTGGTCCGGCGGCTGGGCCTGGGTGGGGGGCGCGGGGACGGAGAGACGGACACCCAACTGAGCCTGCCGGGGCAGGAGGGGCGAGGAGAAGCGTCGTCTTTACAGTTCCGAGCGAGACGAGGGCAAGGTGAGGTTTGGAGGAAAGGGTGTCTTAGGAAGTGGCCGGAAGTGGTGAGAAGCTGGTAACAGACGTTGGTACAAGTAACCGAAAGGATCAGAGAGAAAGAAAGGAGGTCTGTGTAAGTAGCTGAAAGGATCTAGTGACAAGAAAGAAGGTTGTTGTAAGTGAAGGGAAGGTGAGCTTTGGCTAGATCGTAGGACTGAGAGAAGACAGTCTGTGGAAGTGGATAAAGAATCAAGGAAAAGCGTGGAAGTGGCTGGAGTCCGGGGCCGGAACAGTGTCAGACGGGGCCGGAAGGCAGCGGAGAAGAGGGTAAACCTGAGAGTGTTTGGAAATTGGAAGACTTGGTGGCGAACGAGGGTCAGGACTCAGATCCTGCCTCGGAAAGTGGGCGACGTGTCCGGGATGTGGGATCAGAGGCTGGTGAGGTTGGCCTTGTCGCAGCACCTTCGGGCTGCCTATGGCATTAAGGTCAAGGGTGACCGAGGGCAGTGCGATCGCAGGAGACGTGAAACAGCAACCACGGAAATAGTGGTAAGTTCTAGGGAAGGAGGTTTAGGTTAAAAAAAAAAAGGTTCATCCTGTACTATCACTTATTACCAGGTCATGCTAAAATGTTCATTCTGTGTGGATCCAAAAGAAAATGGAGTTGTGTGTCTAATTCAATCCAGATGGTCAACAGCTGACATGTAAAGAATAGCATTCTTGATTCTTTACAGGGATTTTTGGTCATTGAGAGAAGTTGGCGGGTTTTTCAACCTCAGCAACATTGACATTTTGAATTAGATAATTCTTGAGGGGTGCGGGCTAGCTGTCCTGTGCATTGTAGGATGTTTAGCTGCATCTCTGGCTTCTACCCACGAGATACAAGTAGCATCTCCCAGTTGTGACAGTTAAAAATGTCTCCAGATATTGCCATTTAATTGTGTTTTGAGCAAGTAGCATGTGGGAAGGGAGACAAACACTACCCCACCACCACTGTTACAGAGTCAGATTTCGAGAGGGACGAGGACGTTTTCCAAATGAACCAGTAGATGAGGAGGTGTGAGAGCATTAGAAATAGGCTTCAGATAATACCTCTATATTCACCAACTTGGGGAAAAAAAAACAAGCTTGCTGCTTGGCTATGTCACACTTTTGAGACATAAAGCTGTTTTTTTAAGGCAGTAAACGGAGAAGCCAGAGTGAAATGATTAAAAAGCTGTTGATGACTTTTGGGTGGTCAAGGTAAGGGGATTTTGAGATTTTAATATCTCTACTGAATCATCAAGAATTTCATTGTGAAAAATAAAATAAACTGAATATAATACATTTTATTTTCAATTTATGTGCCTAACTGTATGGTACTTTCTAAGTACTTACAGAAGAAAACTAATAAAATTAATTTGCATAGCTCTTAGAAGTCTATAATTTCGGAAAGAAAATAGTACTTGGAGAAGAAACTTACTAACAAAAATAATTTCTATACCTCTTAATAGCATAAATTCTGGGGAAATTATTTTTATTGTTTGCAGCTTAATGGCAACATTATATTTAAAAACTAGAGTGGTTTCTTCTGATTGTAAAACTGACTCTCCAAGATTTCAAATATAGTTGGTTTTGTATGTATATGAAAGAATTTGTATGTGGATTTTCTTTTCATTCCTTATGAAAAACTGACACCTGCCTTTAGAGTCAGGTAGACCTGAGATTGAATCTTGCCCTACCCCTACTAGGTGTGTGATCTTGAGCTGTTTGTTTAATTTTCCTAAGCTTCAGTTTCCTGCTCTATAAAGTAGCAATAATGGTATCTCTCCTTGGATTGTTTAGGGGATTTGAAAAACAACAAGCTCTGTAAAGACGACTAGCACAGTGTTACATGTCACTCATTCAACTAATGATAATTGTTATGATAATCAGTGGTCTACATACTAATTGATAGTCATGCTAGAAACCCTAATAAAAATATTCTAATAGGGCCAGCCCCATGGTGTAGAGGTTAAGTTTGGTGCACTCCGCTTTGGCGGCCCAGGCTCATGGGTTTGGAACCACGGGTGCCAACCTACACTACTTGTCAGCCATGTTGTGGTGGCGACCCACATACAAAATAGAGGAAGATTGGCACAGATGTTAGCTCAGGGATAATCTTCCTTAGCAAAAAAAAAAAAAATTCTAATAAAGATACAACAGAAGTTCATTGTGTTATAAGAATGTGATCTAGCAGGATAACTAATTGTTTGAAAACTGGATTTCTTTAGTTCTTTGGTGTTTGTTAGCTAATGATATTTTTGAGCTTTTTAAGAATACCAGAAATCTTTTAAAGATGAGATTGTAAATGATATTTCAATACATCAAATTTAAAAAGCATGTTATTGGTTTTATTTTATGATATTAAATTATAGTAGTTACTTGTGAAGCCAATTGTTGACAATAATGGAGGCTTCTGAAAAAAAACACAACCCTCAATTCTGATTATGTATGACATTTGTAGACTTATAATCAGCTTCAGGATCTGATTTACTTTTGCATTTTGTTTGGTTTCACAGTATCAAGAAAATTCTGATTTACCCAAATAAGGGGTTGCTGATACTAACATTTTTTAAATAGCTCATCTTGAAAATGATAATCATAACAGCAACAGATATTCTTTGAATTACTTACTCTGTCAGGCACTGATTTAAATGCTTCACATCTTTTCAGTCGTTTAATTATCTCTACAACTCTATGACTTAGGATTTATGTGAGGATACTAAGGTGTAGAGAATGTTAGTATGATCGAGGTCACTCAGCTAATAAGTGGAAGAGCCAGGATTTAAAACTGGCAGTCCTGCCTCTAGGAGCCTGGCTCTCTTAAGCACTATGCTATGCTGTCTTTTCTATCTTCGTCAATTAAATGGAGCCAGATGCTTGAAAAAGGACTAGTAAAGATTTTGTTAGTCTGTTGAATCATTAACAGTAGTGAATGATTTCTCGTTGTAAATAAGAAATGTATAGGTTAAATAAGATGCTCTTAAAACACAAATGCTTCAAGAGCATTCATGGAGAGCAGGTGCATCTAAGCTAAATTAACATTTGTGAGATTAGGTATACCACTTATTTAATTTTATATAAGCAGACATATACAGGCTTGAGTTTATTTTTAAGTCCAGTGCAAAGCTACAGTCTTCATCAGTGACACAGTTTTAAGAAGTTTGAATGCATGCACAAAGATAGTGGCAGATTCTTTATTCAGAGGTGTGTACAAACACTCAAATTAACCAACATACAAGTTTACCTTGGGATCTTCAATGTATTACAATTTGAATGTGAGTAATACATTTGAATGTGACTTTTCAAAAGTAGTTTTCAAAGTAGTTAAATGAAATTTGAATTAAATGTTTGCGGAATCCCTACCTTGGATACTTCAGAACATAGTTTGAATAGCACTCTTCCATATAGTATGGAAAAGATAATCAGATCTAAAAACAACCATTTCGGTGTTATTTTAGGAAATAGTAAGTGACAGTAATTACCATTATCGATTGATGTATTATTTTGATTATATCAACTTAGTCTTTTGTTCAAGTTAGTATTTATAAGGTGATGGAAGGAAAGTATAAGATCAATATATTATTTATAAGGTCACTGAAGGAACCTTTAGTATTTTTCAGGAAATGTTAGTGTTTTGGGCCAAATTCTGTTTAAGAATTTCCTGACCAAGCACTAACTGGATTGATTTTCCATTATCAGATTGGAAACTGGCAGAATGTCTATGTCGCTTGCTTGAGGGCAGTGACTTTATCTTGACCATTTTTATACACCTGGCACCTCGCATAGTGTAAAATAGTTACTTTTTACCAAATGTACTTGAAATAATTGTTTTCATTGTCTTGACTATTTCCACTATTATTTGTATTTCCTGAGGTTGTTATTTGCCTGTTTAAGAAAACTTACATTATGCCTGATATTTGTGTTAGAGTAACTAAATTTGTCATTTTAGGGTAAAATATTTGGAGTACCTTTTAATGCATTGCCCCATTCTCTTGTACCAGAATATGGACACATTCCAAGGTAAGCAAAGTTTGAAGTGAAGAATAAATATTTCAAACTGGTGTTTGACTGTTTGAAAGTAAATAGTTGATTGACTCACATTCAATTTGAACTAGCAAATTATTTTATTTCTCAATATTAACTAATGTAAAAATTGTTTTTAAACTTTTACATATTTTAACATTTTAAGTTGTACTCATTCCCAGGAGTGAATTTTAGGGTTCAATACTGAGTAAATGTTAAAATGCAAATTATTTTTGTGCCATTAAGTCAGAATTTTCAATTCTATACCATTCTTTTGCTGCAATTCTGATTATATTCAGTAATATGCTGAATTACCAGTTCAATTATAATTTTCACGTTTTTTTGTTTTAGAAATGTTGGATAAAAGAATATTTAAGCTAAGATATTGGAGTATTTGTGAATAATTATGTAACACTTGAGCTTTTCTATGTCACTTACTATTTATCAATAACCTTTTGCACTGACTGCATCAGAAATTATTAGGGAAGTTTACATCTTAAGGAAATAGTTTAGGGGGTGGCCTGGTGGCCTAGTGGTTAAGTTCGCATGCTCCACTTTGGTGGCCCAGGGTTCTTGGGTTCAGTTCCTGGGCGTGGACCTATACACTTCTCATCAAGCCATGCTGTGGTGGCAACCCACATACAAAATAGAGGAAGATTGGCACAGATGTTAGCTCAGGGACAATCTTCCTCACTAAAAAAAGAGGAAAGTAGTTTAAAAATGTGTATAAAGAAACTATCTTAGGGGCCAGCCCCATGGCTTAGCGGTTAAGTGTGTGCGTTCCGCTACTGGCGGCCTGGGTTCGGATCCTGGGTGCGCACCGGGTCACTGCTTGTCCGCCCACGCTGAGGCAGCATCCCACACACAGCAACTAGAAGGATGTGCAGCTGTGACATACAACTATCTACTGGGGCTTTGGGGAGAAAAAGGGAAAAAAAAAAGGAGGAGGATTGGCAATAGATGTTAGCTCAGGGCCGGTCTTCCTCAGCGAAAAGAGGAGGATTGGCATGGATGTTAGCTCGGGGCTGATCTTCCTCAAAAAAAAACGAAACTAGCTTAGCTCTTACTAATTCATTTCCCCTCTATCCAAAGTAGAATTCATTCTGGCTGCTGTAGTCCAACAACTTAGGTTTTTAATTGATGCATTGTCCAAAAGCATTTAGTGAAAACCTTGTTGCCTTAGAACAGTTTTCCTTCATTCAGCATATAGGTGTAGATTCACAATCTTCATAAGGTAACCACTAATTTGCTTTTTAAATGACCTATAAAAGGTTCATTTATAATGACTTTCGACGTTTAGAATTGCAAAGTCATATCCCTGGTAATAATGACTAAATCTTTGTTGTAATTTCTTTACCTGCTTTTTTTTAAAAAAACTGTTCTGTCAGTTATCCCTCGCCACATTCAGCCGCTGTGCACCAGAACAATGATGGCAGTTGCTTACAGCTGACATCTATTCTAATTTGTTGGTAGCAGCTATTAACTAAGCATCTAAAGCCAACATTGATTATTAAAAATTGTTCTTCAATATAAAGAAATTGAGCACACACCTCTGAGTGTGAGAAGGATTGTAAGGACTGGGATATATCTGACTTTTCTGAGAGGTAATGTTAGGATGAGAAAAAAATCTTATTTTTGGGCAAGTGTAGTAGATGGTAGATATCTTAAGCTATGTACACTGCACAAGGTCACAAGTGGAGAGAGAATAGATAAAGCAAAGAAGGCCTTAGACAGAGCCCTGGGTCATCCCACCGTGTAGAAGTCTGGCAGAAAAGGGGTCTGAGAAGGAGCATTTGGAGAGACAGCAAGAAAACCAGAAGAGTAGTGAAAGAGGGTATTTTCAAGATGAGCAGGGAGTGGTCAAGTGTGTCAAATGCTGGTAGAACAAGCAAAATGAAGACAGTGAATTGATCATGGATTTGGCAAGGCAGGACCCATTGGTGATCCTGATGAGAGCTGTTTTCCTGGAGTAATGAGGATGAGAGTCTGGGGAGGATTGAGTAGCGGCTGGGATATGAAGAAGTAGAGGCAGTAAAAAAGATAAATCTTGTGCTCTGAGCAGAAGCAGAGAAATGGAGTAGGATTGACGAGAATGTAGGATTGAGCAGGCTCACTGAAGTCATCATGGGTAAAAAATGGGCCTTAGAGTACAATTTAGGAAGCAAGGAGGATAACTAAAAGTAACCTTTCTTCAGAGATTAAAGGGATTTGTGGCATCAGAGCTTCTGAAAGGGAGGTAGTGCTTGGTCTACTCATGTACTTTGGCAGGAGAATAGGATTTAGTAAAATGTGTATCTGGCAACCTGAAAAGATTTCTCTCTTTCAGTTTTCTTGTTGATGCTTGCACATCTTTAGAAGAGCATATTCATACAGAAGGGCTTTTTAGGAAATCAGGATCTGTTATTCGCCTAAAAGCACTAAAGGTAAGCATATTTTTGAACTATAATTTTTTAGTTGTACCACTTTGTGATTTGGTTTTTACAATTGAAATATTTAGAACTATTATATGAATAATTATTATTTTTCTTTTTGGTGAGGAAGATCAGCCCTGAGCTAACATCTGACGCCAATCCTTTTTTTTTTTTTTTGTGAGGAGATCAACCCTGTGCTAACATCTGCCAATCCTCCTCTTTTTTTGCTGAGGAAGACTGGCCCTGGGCTAACATCTGTGCCCATCTTCCTCTACTTTATATGGGACGCTGCCACAGCATGGCTTGCCAAGCAGTGCATTGGTGGCGCGCCCAGGATCCGAACCGGCGAACCCCGGGCCGCTGTAGCGGCGTGCGCACACTTAACTGCTTGTGCCACCAGGCCGGCCCCCAGTCCTCCTCTTTTTTGCTGAGGAAGATTGGCCCTGGGCTAACATCCCTTCCCATCTTCCTCTACTTTATATGGGATGCCGCCACAGCATGGCTTGACAAGCGGTGCGTTGGTGCGCGCCCGGGATCTGAACCTGTGAACCCTGGGCCGCCAAACAGCAGTACGTGCACTTAACTGCTGCGCCACCAGGCCGGCCCAATTACATGAATTATTGACAGAAATTGAATTTGCAAATAGCTTCATGGCAGAAGAACCCCCCCCACCCCTTTTTTTAAAAAGAAATTGTATGTCATTTATATACTGTTTTTTTAGTTTTATTGAGATATAATTGCCAAATACATTTAAGTTGTACAACTTGATGTTTTGATATACATATATATTGTGAAATGATCACCATAATCAAGCTATTTATATGTGTAATGCTTTAAAAGTTTACAGATTACTTTCCAATTCATAGTCCTTGTTCCTGTAGAGTACTATATGAAATGAAATTTTTTTTAATGTTGTTTTTAGCCTTCTAAAAAGGAGTGATATATATTAAAACAAGAGTTAAGAGAAATTTATTACAGAAAGCTCTTTAGAGTATATTAAAGAGTACTTTATTTGCAGTAAAGTTTTAAGTTCTCATATGCTCAAGATGATTATATTCCTTTCAGAATAAACTGGATCACGGTGAAAGCTGCCTGTCTTCTGCACCTCCTTGCGATATCGCAGGACTTCTTAAGCTGTTTTTTAGAGAATTACCAGAGCCCCTTCTCCCAGTTGATTTGCATGAAGCACTTTTCAAAGCTCAACAGTTAGGAACAGAGGAGAAGAATAAAGCTACATTGTTGCTCTCCTGTCTTATGACTGACCACACAATTGACATATTAAGATACTTGTTTAACTTTCTCAGGAATGTTTCTCTTAGGTAAGTAGTAATTAAGTCTTGGCAAATGACAGTTTAATTTCTCAACTAGCTAGATTTTCCCATATAAATAATAAATTAAATTTCATTTGGAATGGAAATTTTTCTAAAAAATATTATATATTTCCTCACTATAAGAAGTATACCCTGTATAATTTAAGAAACAATATACCAAATGATCTAATATTTCCTTGCTGTCTTAGAGTCATCATTATGAATGCCTTAATGGCTTATTGGTGTTAAGAATTCTTTGTCCACTGAATGGCTTCAGATTACTGTGTTTTTAAAATATTTGTGTTTTGCTTTTCAAATTTGTCCCCTCTCCCTGCTGTCAGTGAGCCTGCTTGTTCTAGACATACTTGCTGCCTTCTAATACTTTCAATTTTCCATGTGGGTTTGAAAATCAAATAAACATGTTCAATTTGTGTGGAAGAACAAAGAGTGGACTCTGGTTAGCCTGATTTTTATGACATATATTAAGCACACAGAAGTTGTATATTTCTGGTTCTGTCTTATTTCAAGCCATTTATGTAGACAGGTAGATGAAGGGTAACTGTATTTTGACTTGTGTTTGACTGATAAAATAAGAGTCAAAATGTGCTAAATAACATTGTTTTAACTTTGTATTTTTATCCTTGGCTCCATCTTATAAAACCTTTTTTCATTTAAGGTCCAGTGAGAATAAGATGGATAGCAGCAATCTTGCAGTAATATTTGCCCCAAACCTTCTTCAGACAAGTGAAGGACATGAAAAGATGTCTGCTAATACAGAGAAAAAGCTACGATTACAGGCTGCAGTAGTACAGACTTTTATCGATTATGCATCAGATATTGGTAAGATGTAGTTGCACTATTAAGTAACAGGATTTGTTTAAATGAGGGAGATCCCAGCTCCTTCCAAGTGGACTATGAAGACAAATGTTAGAAATTTGTATGTACTATTGAAACATTTTGAGGGGGAGTAGAGGAGAGATCTTAATTGTGAACATTTTTGTTTAGGGCATGTTCCAGATTTTATCCTTGAAAAGATACCGGCTATGTTGGGTATTGATGGTCTCTGTGCTACTCAATCACTAGAAGGCTTTGAAGAAGGTGAATGTGAATCTCCTGGTGACTGTAAGAGAAAGCGAAGACAAAGTGTAGGAGGTAGGTGGCAGTAGCAGTCCCATTTTATGGACGTCTGTGATGTGCTTTTATCTAAAATGCATTTGAACATAAAGAATCATAAGCTGTAGTGTACATCTTTTTGGTGCTCACAGCATAGTTGGAAAGACATGACATATGCATATGAAAAGTAAAAATGACCATGTAGTCTGATATTAAGTGCTAGGTCTTTAGCACAAACATAAAACGTGTTCAAAGGGGAAAAGTTTCTGCGGTTGTAATGATCAGGGACTCTTCAAAGAGGAGGTCAAACTGAACTTTCTTGAAGAATGGGTAGAATCTGGGAGAATTGGGTGGAGGGTCAGAATACTTATGTCATATTCTAGATGAGGAGGATATTATGAAGAAAGATTTGTGTAAGAAAGAAGTAGTCTATGTCTGTGTCTGTAAATAGACCAGTGTGACTTGAGTGAAGGGTTCATCCTAAGGATTAGGTATGATATTCTGGTGAGCTCAGTGTAAGGCTAAAGGAATTAGAACATTAAGCTGGGTATTGGAGAACCATTGAAGGTTTATGAGTAGAAGCATAACATGATTAAAATATTTTAGAAAATTATCTGGTTTGAAGAATTGAGACTTGGGGGTAGGGAGAATAGAAATGTATGGCAATAATCCAAGTGTGAGATCATGATTTGAAATAGTGATGTGAATTAGTTACAAGTATGAACTAAATAATGAAGGAAACATTACCAAGGAAGAATCAAAAAGACCCAAAGTTTCATCATGGTGGAATCAGTCATAAGACTTATCTCCTTCTGGATCAAGAAGACTGAGGCCATTCCTCCTCCAGTTGCCTTAGGAAATATCTTATCTTTTGAGTATCAGAACCAATTGTTATTAACTCGCATTCCTTTTTGAATCTTTTGGCTTATATGGCATTCATTGCCTTCTTCTGTTTCTTCTTTGCCTCCTTTGTAGATTCCCCTTATGCCTTCTGTGTTAGTTTCCTAGGGCTGTTGTAACAAAATACCACAAACTGAGTGGCTGAAAACAACCAAAATTTGTCTCATTTCTGGAGGCTAAAAGTCTGAAGTCAAGGTGTTGCCTGAGCCATGCTCCCTCTGAAACCTGTAGAGGAGAATCTTTCTTGCCTCTTCTTGCTTCTGATGGCAACTGTCGATTTTTGGCATTCTTTGACTTGGAGCTACATCACTCCACGCTCTGCCTCTGTTGTCACGAGGCATTCTCCCTAGATGACTCTCTGTCCAAATTTCCCTCCTATAGTAACACCAGTCACACTGAATTAGGGCCTACCCTAATGACCTCATCTTAACTTCAGTACATCTGCAAAGACCCTAATTCCAAATAAGGTCATTCACAAGTACTGGGAGTTAGGACTTAAACGTATCTTTTTCGAGGACACAACTCAACCCATAAAACTTGCTACCCTAAATGTAGATATTCTCAGACACAGATCATCTTTGTTACCCTCTTTCCCTTTGTGATTTCATTCACTTCTATAGTTTCAGTTATCGCATCTAAATAGCTGAACACCCGATCTCTATCACTGTTATCTCACAAATGTCAGTTCCACTTTAGTAACGGCCTACTAGACAGACATCTTCACTTCTGCTTTTCCTTGGTGCTTTAAGCTCAGCATTTTGAAATGATCATCTTCACCCTCTTTAAACTGGTTCTGCTTGAACTCCTTTTTCTGTTAACAGCACCACCATTCTCTAGTCACTCAGGCTTTAGAGCATGGTTGCCTAAATCTTACTTTACTATCTATATTCACATAGTTTTCAGGTTCTGTAAGATTCTGTCTGTAGTCTTTACTGCATCTTTACCATAAGACTCTCCTTCTTGGTCTTTGTGCCTCCTCCTTGAAACTGCCCTGCTTATTGCTGTCAAGGCTGACATTCTTAATGAATAACTCTAATCATGTATCTCACACACATACCCTTTAGAAACTTGCATTGATAATACTGCTATTTATAGCCTGGACTAAAGGTCTTTCCTGGGATTTCTTTAGCATGCCTTTCTACTGCTTCCTGCCTCTCCTTTAAGCAATCTGTACTTTAGTCAAACTGCATTCTTTATTTATTGTTTTCTAGATGCTTTGTTCTTTTGCTTATACTGTTTATTGATAATAATGTTTTTACTTCCATCTGCCCCTGCTGTTCAAATTATATCCAGTTGTCAAAATTCATCTTAAATGTCAAGCAAGCTTCCCTCCTCTGCCCTATTTTTTTGGGGGGGACAAATAATCTCTTTTCTCTTCCAACATTCTGTAATGTTCTAGACTCTAACAGTTTTTATCTGGTTTTATATTTATTCCTTGTGCAGAACTCTCTTACTATTATATTTAATGCTCTTTGAAGATAGAGACCATGTTTTATTCAGTATTCTTTACTGAATAGGTGTAAACTACTGAATGAATATAATAAATTGAGTTACTGATGTTTAGCTTAAACCCAGAGGTACTTTATTCATTAGACCAGGTTAGGATAGCATTTGTCAAGCATCACTATTTCATTGCAATTTGAAACTGTTTAGGACCATTAGTGTTTTTTATGTTATAGCTAGCCTTCTATTTTTTTGCATCTCACTTTGAAATGCCACAAACATCATCCATATGATTTGATTGCATTTGCTTTGAAGAATCTTTTGACTTCTTTTTAAATTGTGGAAAAATATATATAACGTGAAATTTACCATCTTAACCATTTTTAAGTGTACAGTTCAGTAGTGTTAAGTACATTCACACTGTTGTACAACCACTCTCCAGAGGTTTTAGTTTTATTTTTTGTATTTATTATATATGAGTTAGTTACTGTAGCTTGATTTTATGCTTGGTATGACAATTCTCAATGAGTGTATTGCCCCAGAATCTACACAGAATTCCATGAGCAAATTCTTGTAATCTAAGCAAGAGGGATTTTGTCTGTCATAATTTTCCTGCTCTTGCTTCTGTACATGAGTCTGTGTGTGCTCCTCTGTATTGTTATTGCCCTAATGAATGTCTTTCATGGATGGTGGAGCAGTACTAAATTGATTTGATTAATATGATGCCCTTATTAGTGTGGTACTTCCTGAAATACATATAGTAAGCTCATGAGCTATTAAAGGGATTGAGATATAATTTTTCCCTTTCTCCGGAGAGATGGTCTACTTTCAGTGTGGCCCATGATGCAGTCAGGACAGTTGAGATTATAGAGAGAACAGTTTATCTTTCCACACTCCTGATTGTGCTGTGCTATGTTAATTGTGTGTTATCTACTGTGTCTGAGTCTGCTGTTTGGTTGTTTCTTCTCTGTTCTGCTCTGGCTTTCATTCTCTTCCTTTTTCTTTTGTCTCTTTTCCCTCTCCCATATTAACCTGGTTTAATGCCCAGGTGCCATGAAGGTTGGGTTTATTTAAGACATTGCCCGCCATTTAGAGCATTGCCTATTTGTGGCTCTTCATTGAGGTTTTCAGTATTCTCCTCTGGTTTGTGCCTATTTCAATTGAGAGTGTATGATTTCTCAATAATACATAAGTGGGCTATAGCTGAACTTAACTATTTTGAGTGATATTTGGTGATTAATCAATCAGGTAAACAAACATATTCACAGGACTTTTGTGTTTCATTATGGCTGAAAATTAGGGCCATATTTTTGCATGAAACTATTTCGGTTTAAGTCACAAGTTCCAAATAGCTAAATCCAGTGTATTTTTTTTTAGGCCTGTATTGTTCAGAATCTCTGACCACTTGACTATTTCCTTCCTGATATATTCTTTTCTTTCCTTATTTTTTATAAAACTATGCTTTCTCTGTTTTCCTACTTCTTTACAGCCATTTGTTCTGTCTCGTTTTCTGGATTTTCTTTTTCTGACCACCTCTTAAATGTTCTTTTCTTCCATACTTGACCTTCTTATTACACTTTGCCCCTTCTTAAATGATCTCATTCACTCTTATTTTTTAAAGCTACCGTTTCCAGGCTGATTACTCCCAAATCTACTTCTCTAGCCCTAATCTTTTCACAAATGGATTCATATCCGTTTCAGTGTCTCGTAGGCATGTCTAACTCTTGTTTGCTTAATTTCTTTTTTCTTTTTCTTTGGGTAGCACCATTGTCTACTCAGTCATCAAAATCAGAATTCTAGATGTCCTTATCTACTCTTTCCTCAATCCTACATCCCACTGATGACCAAGTCTTTTCACTTTGATCTCTTAAATACCTTTATTCCTGCTTTCATTTCCACTGCTCCTTCCTCAGTTCAGACCTTCAGCTTTTGCCTGACTAATTCTCACTCTTCTTTCAGGTCTCAACTAAGACATCACTTCCTCAGAGACTCTTTCTCTGACTCCCCAGTCTAAATCTGTTGTTATTTTTGCACTTCAGACTACGTACCCATTTGTCATTATGTATTTATTTCCTTAGTATATTTAATGTTTTCTTTCTCCACTAGAATGAGTTCCATAAAGGCAAAGACCATGTCTATTTAGTCACTGTTGTATCTTCAGTGTTAGCACTGTGCTTGACACATAGTAGGTACAAAATAAATATTGAATGACTGAATAACATACTTAGAAGAACCTTCAGCTCATTTGCCTGCCTTCAAGGAAGCTTACCCCTCTATGTCTATTATACTGCTGCCAAAGTGATTTTTCTAAAATGCAGATCTGATGATTTTGCTCCCCTTTGCCTTTGGAGAAGTTTGAGTTCTTTAAAATGACATACAGACCCTGTTCTGCCTAATACACAAGACTTATCTTGCGCCATATCTGCTGCTCACTGTTTGTGCTAGCAATATCAAACTACTGGTTCCTAGTATACATAAATTCTGTTTTCACTCACATGCCTTTTCTTATGCTGTTTGCCTTGCCCACATGCTACCTTTCTACCTAATCAACACCTCGTCCTTCAGAACACTGTCCAGGTTTTACTGCCATTACAAAGCTTTCTCTCTCATTGCCATTTCCTCTCTTCCTCAACAAGCAATGACTTCCCCTACCATACTCTTTCTGTATGCTTACTCATACTTGTTTTACATTTCATTCTGTATTGTACGTGTTTTTTTTTGAAAGAGATATGGGAATATAGGTGGGGAATGGACTAAAAATATATCCTTTAGGTTTTTTTTTCTATTTTGAAATAATTTCTTTTAAATAACGTTAAGTGACTTTAAAATGTATAAGCTGATATAAACTTAGATGCTAGAAGGCCACAAATATCAATAATGAATTATTGGTGAAAGATAGGTAAATGTTAATTTATAATTGATTATATGATTATATATGTCTTGAATTTCAGATTTTGTTAGTGGAGCATTAAATAAACTTAAACCTAACAGAACACCCTCTGTTACACCTCAGCAGGAAAGAATTGGTAGGTATTATATATATTTATTTAAATGAAAATTTCTGTATATTATGTATAAAGTAATTATGATAGTAATTACATAACTAATTTTGGTTTAATCAAATCCAAATATTATTTTCAATGGAGATACTGTACTGTAATACTATGTTGTGACATTGCTAATTACGTTGGATATAATGAACCTAAAATTGTAGGTGAGAATTTCTTTTAGTCTATTGTTACATCCTTAATCTTCTTTTTTTTTAATATAATTTTATTTATTTATTTTTTTCCCCCAAAGCCCCAGTAGATAGTTGTATGTCATAGCTGCACATCCTTTTACTTGCTGTGTGTGGGACATGGCCTCAGCATGGCCGGAAAAGCGGTGCGTCGGTGCGCACCCGGGATCCGAACCCGGGCCGCCAGCAGCGGAGCGCGCGCACTTAACCACTAAGCCACGGGGCTGGCCCCAAAATCCTTAATCTTCTAAATCATGTTTTTCTGTTGCTTGTAAGTTGAATCCTCTTGAACATGTGTAAATAACACAATCTCATTTTTGTTTTAGAACCAGAAGTTTATTAGTGTATGTTCCAATTTTTTATCGTGGTTTGCTTGTGGCTGAAATTATTCAGCCCAATAACAGACAATATGATCATTTGTTTTGTTTTCCAGATTGAATAAATTAACTCAATAATACTCAGTTATGATGAAAAGCAAAAATATTTGGATCTGTTTTTGTTTTAACTCTTTGTTATAATTTTCTTCCCTATGTTAATATTCTTTAATGTGAATTGTGTGCATCTTTTAGTCTAATTTGGTTTAAGTTACTACTGTTTGTTAAGAATCTTGCCTCTTTGTGACTTTTTTTTTTTTTTTTTT